TCCGGTGCATATTTTCATCCTTTAAAATTTATTATTTAATTATGAAATATATCTTATTTGTTTTTCTTAAATTATTTTTCCACAATTAACGAGTTAAAATGCTAACAAGCAATCCAAATAAAATATGATATTTGTTATATTACGAAATAGATCTGGCAACACTGATAGATACCATTTGGTTAGAAGCCCTTCATGAATGTTTACTATTGACATTCGATCATAAATTTGGTCAAATAACATTTTACTAAGGTAACCTATTTTTGAACTTTAACTAATACATGATATTTTATGAGCTTTCGACGTTTCGATAAGTTACCGCATGCTACCTGATATAAATGGCATCATTAGTTAATTGAACAGAATAATGAATTTTAAAAGAACACAAATTTGAATTCAAATAATTTAAACTGCCTTCTATGAGTAACATAGTTTCTCATATAAACACATTATATATAATTAAAATTTCAACAACAAAATAATAAATTAATTTACAGGAAACAATTACTCTAAAGCATAGAAATGTAGTAACAAAATGATATAAGATACAATCAGTCTTTTCGAAATATGAAGAGTTTCAGTTGAAATTCCTATACAATATGTAAGTCATTCTTAAAATTACAATTATAGGCATGTATTCTAAAACTCATAAATTTCAATGGCAGTTTCTGGTAATTTCAAATACAGGTAGGCCTCCAACAACGTGGTACCTTTACAACACGGTTGGAAAAATGTGGTAATTTTCTTACAACGCGGTTTATGGTATTTAGAAACGAATTATCTTTCACATAACAGAAAAATCGCAACAGATCACGTGATATGAGCCACAGTTCAACATACAGAGCTAAAAGTCTTTGAAAACAGCTGTTTGTCGACATTGGCGTGTTATTTATTCCCTTGAAAGTTTCAGGGGAAGACCAGTTTCTAGACAGATGTGCATCAGTTACCGTAGACACTCAAATATATCACTAAATTTTCCATCATTTATACTGTTTCAATAAGTGGGGACAGCAAAAATGGTCCAAAACACCATATAAACTTCTGTTGGATGTATATTTTTAACAACATAGTGAAGAAAAGTTATTTTTTGCAATTTTTACTGTCCACAAAACTGATTGAAAAAATTTTAGCTATAACAATGACGAATGAAAAGAAAGGACGGTAGTTATAAAGGAAATTTATAACTCTTCAAAGATAGAAATTTTGGATCGAATTAAAAATCGAGCGGATAGCTGATATTAGTAGTCATTTTAATTTAAATGAGTCGACTATTCGGTCGATTAAGCAATCGGGAGAAAAGATTAGAAATTTGGTCGCATCCGGATCATCTATTCTTGCGAAAAATGTTGCTAGTCCGAGAGCACCTATAATGTAAAAAATGGAACAAGCGCTAATATTATGGGTAGAAGAGATGAACAAGAAACGGTTGCCTTTAAATAAAACTGCACTTAAACACAAAGCCTTAAAAATATTTGATTATTTAAAACAAATGGGACAATCGTCAGCTGCAATGGCGTAGCGTGGGTGTCAGCCGCCCGGGGTGGAAGAAAATTTCGCTGCCCCCTTATTTAGGTATCTCAATTTAAAAGACTAAAATTCAGTTTCGTCACAGAATAAATAATGAACAATTCTGTGCTCATTTCAATTGGTTGAATCGCAGGTGCAACAAAAATATGAAATGGAATGGTTCAAATTTTTACAAGATATTATTATTATTTATTGTCAAATTTTGCCGCCCCTTAAAAGTGTTGCCCCCACTACGCTTCGCCACTGGTCAGCTGATGAAACTAGTGTTAAATTCGTGGCTACCAATGGCTGTTTGAAAAATTCAAAAAACGCCATTCAAATGCCAAGTTTTTCTCTTTTTAGAACCGAATCCCAGTTTTTGTATTGAGTTGGTGTCTCCTATAACGCGATTTCCCACAACACGGTATTTTCAAGGAACGTATCTACCACATTGTAGGAGGCCTACCTGTAATTGCATATGCGCACGAGATGCTTCTTTTTTGAATGTTCTTGATTTCATTTATCAAAAAGCTTGAAGAATGGTAAGTGATCAAAAGAACAGGAAAATGCTGAAAGGAGGAGGAACCAATTAAAGAATAAAGTCTTTGGAAAAGTTGGACAAATGCTTAGAAAATTCAGAAGAAAGTTTAAAATTTCACACAGACATATTTGCTGGATTTTGAAAGAATGTCAACTGATTCTCAAGAAGTGAAAGTCTATTTCAAAATACATGGTAAAGCAAGTTACTCAAAAAAATTGCTTCTGCAGATATTGCATGATGGAATCTTGAGCCTTTTATGACTTATAACCAACCTGTACACAAAAACATTATTTTAAAATAAATAATGAATTTAAACAACTTTGAAATTGTGCAGATTTTTATAGTGAGCAAAAAAAGTATTTGTACACAGGCATTATTTTGCATAAGTAGACTTGGGGGCAGCTACAAATAATAAATTTAATTTAATAAAAATAAATTTAATCATTGAAGTACTTTTACAATTCATATTCATGCATGTTTATTTTTGAGTTTATCTGAAGAAATTATCCAAAGTAAAATTGATTTTTTGCATGCCAAAAAAGTATTTGCACACATAATGCCATCCTGTTTTACAACAGTTAAATACAGTGGGTGATCGGTTAACGAACATAATCCGTTCCAAGACTTTGTTCGTTATCTGAATTGTTCATTAACTGATTATTGATTTACCATAGGTTTGTATGGGAATTTGATTAATTCGTTCCGAAGACTCCAAAAAATAAAAAAAATATATACTTTTTTTACTACATTTATTTACATGTAATAGTAAAAATACATACATATGCTGTCTTGCATTTTTATTAGTCATGTTTTATCCGTTTGTGGGGGTTAAACAATCTGTCCAATGTCGATTGCTTTTCTCTTTTCTTCAGGATTTTTCAGAAGTAATTAATAGTATTGTAATTGTAGAGATTCCCAACCCAATGAACCTTATTCTGCTTTGGTTGCCACTTGGATGATATAACATCCTCCCACTCCTTCAAAAGATCTTTAGTAGCAGATGTCGACATTGGTCCTCTTTCGTCTTCCTCTTTTCCAAAAGATAACACATTTCGCTGAGTTTCTCGGTATTCTTCATTTGAGAGTTCTTGGAGTTTTTCTGTCGTCAGATCAATTTCAGGTTCCATTATGAGCTCTAAAATGCTCTTTATTTCTCAGACGTAATTTTCATTACTCCATTAACAGCTTGAGACTTCTTGATATATCTTTCATAGCTAAGATTGAGCCTACTATAGACCTGTTCAAGCCATACTGCCTAGCAATATCAGACACCTTGTGCTCACTTTCTACCTTGGCTATTATCTCTTACTTGGTTTCTACAGTGAGCACAGTTCTTGACACTCCTCTTTTTAGGCTCCAAAATATTATCAGTTTCTTTTTTAAATAAAAAGTTCAGAAAAGCACTTACAAAAATTCAGAGAACAGAAATCAACTAGGCCACAAAAAATTATTTAAATACAAGGCCCAAATGAAATTCGAAATTTGGTATTAAAACGTTAACGAATATCCTTTCACCTTTCGTAAATAAACCCCGAAGCAAAATTTAACAAGTACCTGTCCGACAGTCTCGCGAAGACTACAAAAATTATTTGTCAGAAAGGTAAACAAAAAGCCGGAATTACAAGAGTGAGTTTCAAAATTTGGAGGAATACTATCCGATCGGTATCGAGTTGAGAGTCGATCTTACGTTGCCCACGCTCCGGGAGGTTTCGAATTGTTACCTGAAGACGAGGGAAAATCAATTGGTATTCTTTATTTTCGGTTGCTTCTTTTTATGTTTATTCAGTAAAGTGTTCGTTATCCGAACATGTGTTCGTTGTCCGATCATAAAAATCTTTCGCAAAAGTGTTTGTTATCCGATTTGTTCGCTATCCGATCACCCACTGTACTACAATATATAGATTGCCAGCACATCATTGACTCACACTATTTAAAAGATGCATTCTATGACTATTAGAGAGGGAAATTGACTAGTTTCAGTTGTAATGACTCAAGCGTGACTGAAAGCAAGCAAGTTTAATATTTTTAGTTTCAGTTGTAATGACTCTGAAGAAATTTAATTTTTCATGTCAGTGTGAGAGAGGATTATAGACCTAAGGAATTGTAGTTATTGAAGGATTGCTAAAACTTTAGTTTAATTTTTCAGTATTTAATATGCAATAAAAATGAAAAAGAGTGTGATAGTACTGAAATAAAGCACAATCTGGATATCTGAGGAAGCTAAATGCAAGGCAGTAGAAGTACAGTACATGATTAGGCAATATTAAAATATCCCTTTGTAAGTTATTGTTAATTGTCTATTTGGGCTTTACTTATTAATAGGACTTAATACTGGTGTTTAAAGATTGGCACAGCAATGAGAGTTAGTTCAGGAAAGAACAAAATTTCTTTTTTATATCAACTGTAGTAATAATTTCTGTACCCATATTATACGTGTTTCGGGCTAGCATGCCCCTCATCAGCAGTACTACTACCATACACTAAAAAGGTAACAACAATAAAACAAATAAGTTACTGTATAAGTTAAAAAAAATTTTCACTTAGCCATAAAAAACAATTTTAAAACTTACTGTAAATACATATTCCAATCCTGAGTATAAATGTATCTTTCTCGTTGTATAATTAAACATTTCACTATATAATTAAATTAAATAAATATAGTAAATAAAGGTTGTAAATTATTAAAATCTAACAACATCATATAAGAAACCAAAAACTCACATCAAGGTTCTATTTTTCACCATTCAACAGTGTGCCAGTCTTTAAACATCAGTATTAAGTCCTATTAATAAGTAAAGTCCAGGTAGACAATTAACAATAACATTAGAATTTAAGGACAGTAAGGCTTTTACAATTCCTTTGTAAGTGCTTGACAACTGATGTGATTCAGCATTGGGGGATCATTTACTGTGATCTACAATGCTGAATCACATCAGTTATTCTATTTGCAATTCTATTCATGTTGTCTATATTCAAGCTAATACACCCAGAAAAAAACTTTTATAAGCAAAACAAAAAGGCTTCAGTTTACCAAAGCATATATCAACAAAGCAGCTGATTTCTGGAAAAATGTTCTAAAGAAAGCAAGTTTAATATTTTTGGTTCAGATGGGAAAAAGCATGTATGGTGAAAGCCAGACTTCTCTACAGGCAAGAAAATTTACTGCCTATTGTAAAACATGGCAATGGTCATATAATGGTTTCGTGGTGCATGGCATCTAATGGAGTCAGCAATTTGGCTTTTATTGAAGGTAATATGAATGCTAGACAGTATATTGATATATTTCAAGGTAACTTAGTTCATCAAAATTGCAAATTGAAGGGTCGTACTATTTCCAGCAGGACAATGATCCTAAATTCACTTCTCTTCCTGTCTCTTCCAATTGTTCTTGTCTTCGATCTCCACCTTCTTCTAGGTGGGAGACTTGAGAAACTACCTCTTTTCACATAATTCCAAGTATTTGAATTTACCAAATTGGTCCATTTTCTGGTTGACAGGACTGATCTTTAACCCTGTAGGATCTCCCTTGAATACAAGGGGATATCCACTTCATTTTCTTCTTTTTCTAAGCAGAGAATTGATTATGATGGTTTTTCTTGTTTGGAAAGATGCAGATTCTGCTTCTTTCTGAACAAGAAAAGCCATCATGAACAACTCTCTTAGAAATTAAATACTTTTTTGGAATAAAAGAATTAGGTTCTCCTTCTTTCCTTTCAAAGAAAATTAGAAGTTGTCATAGTGTTTTCTAATTTTAATATTATGACATGAATTACTTAGAAGAAAAAAGATTTCTGTTAAGTGAAAGAGGAAACATTGTAGTTAAAGAAATATTGGATAAATCAGGTATAGTATTTAAGATTTTAACCACACACTACAGTCACACTCAATCATTGCTTTTTTTCTTATAATCACAATATTTACAAAAATTAAAACTGCATTAAAACGACAATCAATCAAATATCAAATATTTTCCAAGGAAAAGAAGAGGGTAAAAATTCATTAAACATATTTTAAATTTTACAATAATAATTAAATTTTGATTATTTTAAGTTAATCAGATTCACAATTGTTATTTTGCAATAGACTTTCACAATATTATATTGCTTAAGAATTATATCCCATTTATTATTTAAATTCAAGCCATTATTAAAATTCTTCAACTTTTAAAATTTCTAATCATATGTTCATATGATTTCTTTTTAAATACATTTGATTCTGTAATTAATGAAAATGGCCTGAATATCAATACAGTGGTACCTCGGTATATGTCTGCTTTAGAATACGTCAAATTCGGAATACGTCCTGTTTGGACGAAACAAATTTTGCTCGGTATACGACTTAATTCAATTATACGCGCCATCTATGAACAAGTAGCACTATTGGTATACTAGACCAGAATAGATGTTCGCGGTGCCACAGTTTATAACTTTGTTAAATTTCTTCTGATTTTAATTTGTAAGTAAAATATTATTATTTTTATTAATCATGAATTGCAAAAAGGCAAATGAAAAGCAACAGAAAACTAAAAAAAATGACTAGAATCACAATGGAACTGAAAAAAGAGATTTTGAGAAATATGAAGGTGGCATGAGTGTTCGAGATTTTAACTGTTGCATACCATATTCTGAGAATGACGATATCGACAATTGTGAAAAATGAAGACATTATTAAATCTGCTAACATTGTGAAAGGGGTTAAAACAATTTCTAAACAGAGATCGAAGACATTAGATCATGTTGAGAAATTGCTTTTGCTTTGGATAGCTGAAAAACAGTGTGCTAGAGACAGTGTATCGCAACCATTTAGTTGTGAGAAAGCTAAAAAGATACATGCTGATCTCATGAAAAATCAAGCAGGAACTAGCCAGGAAAGCGAGGTGTTTCAAGCCAGCCATTTTTTTTTTTAACATGAGAATGGATTAATCATTTTTACATTACTTCTTATGGGAAAGGTTGGTTTGGTATACATCCTATTCAGTACAAGTCCATACATCAGGAACGGATTAAGGTCATATATAATACCAAGGTTCCACTGTATTTGGAAATGTCTTGAGAAAGTACAATATTAATTAATGTCAATTGAATTTTTTAAGGTAAAAATTTTTTTATTGAAATAATTGTTATTATCCTATTATAATAATGGGTTTCAAAAATAATTTTAAATACTACTTGTGTGTTTTTTTAAATATATCATGGATTTATATATAAATTTGTTTGGTTTTTATATAGAGGAGGTTGTTGTTTTTATACAGTATGAATGAAAGATATCAAGTATTTATTTGTGTAATGTGTAATTTTTAACATTAATTTATAGCTGAAGAGTAATGACATGAAAATGTTTCTTTAAAATGCATTTATAAAAAAAAATTGTTTTAAATTATCCTGGTTTGGAGCTAAATGTACAGTAATACCCCGAACTTACGCAATAGGTGAGACCGAGCGATAACCACGTAAGTCGAATTCGCGTAAGTCGGGGTATAATTTCGCAATTTCTGTAAAATCCAAATTGGACGTATGTAAGCTAGTAAATGTTCTCGTTAATCTTATCTCGTCTTTTGATTCGTTCACGGTTACAAGAAATCACCACATATTGTCTTTCAAGTCTCCGTAGATATAACAAACACAGAAAAAAATAACTCAAAATAAATTGTAGCTATGTGTCGATTCCGTGCGATAGTCTGAACATGTAAGCTGAACAATGGAGTGGGGGAGTGAGTAATCAAGAGTTGTGTGGTGCTCAAACAAAAGACGAATCAACGAGATTTGAAAATCGCGTAACTCCGGGTTCATATAAGTTGAGGTATTACTGTATGTAGTTGGTTCAATGGTATTTTACTTTCACCATGTAGATTATATATTTAAAAGTAACTAATTTGATAATTTATTTTCAATTCAGAAATGGCTGAAAATGAACAAGAATTGAAGAATGTACAAGGTAATTTTAATTATTTAATTTTAGTATTATTATAGTAGAACCCTGATTAACCAATGTTCTACATTATCTGAGGCAAACCTATAGGGAATACACTTCTTTTTCTATAGTTTATAAAAGGTTTATCATGAATGCACTGAGCACATAAATACTGCAATACTTTTAACCTTCATTGTACTGACAAGGTGAACCCAGGAGGTTGTCATCATTTGGATTTAGTCAGTATTATTACTTTTGTCATCAGGTTTAAGAGATCTATAAAAGCGTGTATATTCTCTACTCAGAAACTTGCATATAGGGACATTCCAATATTACCAATACCAATACCGATACTTTTCTTTGATACTGAGTATATTTTGAACTTGATACTTTTGGCTGAATACCGATACTGGTATTGATATTTTTCCTCGGATATTGGATCTGGTATCATTGCATTTTTCGCAGATAAGTACAATTTGACCAAAATTGTACTTATCTAAAACTGAAACCAAAATCTTACACTATATTAGGTTAAGTTAAACTGATATAATAAATATTAATGATCAAAAATCTATAAATTTGCTATGTGAAATCCAGAATTTTTACTGAATTTCCTGATTAATGTCCCGTATTTTCCTAAACCCTCAATTAAACTGTTTCTTTAAATCCTAAGCTAAAACCTAACGTGAAAAAGGGAAAAATTCCAATATCCCCTTTCGTTCAAAGTAAACATCCGTCCACTTCGAAAATAATTCCACATTCCAACTCCAAAGTTGATAGTTAGCATTGTCCCGAGGACAACTTTGACCCATTCGTATACCTTTTACCTCACAACAAGTAATAACATGACTATTCTCCCACGATGAAACTATAAAATCCACTTGCTTCCCCCTCTCGGGGGAGTTGTTCATCAACCGGCAACTGCTGTTTTCTTTAATATTGTGTCCTATCCATATATTGTGCCCTTCCAATATTGTGTACCATTTCTGGATCCATTGGATACCAGTATTTTTTTTTCCTCGAGAAAATTTAAATACAGGAAGAGGTATGGAACAGATTTTTGTAAACTCTCTCTTGGCCTCTTCGCGCCTTAGGGACGCAGTAATTTCCCTCGGATTTAATTATTGTACCACCTGCATATAGATTTAATAAATTGTTGTTCCTTTGTTACAATCTGTTTCCTCGTTTACTCATATATTGTCTATTGCTTTACCGACGGCACTCCTCTGTCCTCCACTCGACCCGAACAATTAAATCCTGTTACCGTGGGATAAGTAAAAGAAACATTTAAGCCATCTTGACAATGAGCAGACCTGTCGCCGGAAAGGGAGACCTCCAACCTCCCCGGCGGTTCGCAGTTACATCAAATTTAATTTTTTGAATCTATATACACTATGCTTAGAGATCTGGTTACTGTTTGTAAATAACTCATCAATTATTTAAAAAACATGAAAATCTATTAAAATTTCAAATCAACTGAAACAGTATTGTAGCATTTATTTTAATTTATATTATAAATCAGTATTAATAATCTTTTAATAATAACTAACTAGAGTAAAGCCTGTTATTTATGTCAAAATTAAAAGTTTCAGTTATGCAAAATGTTTCAAAATCAAGCCACAGAGTGAAGAGGGCTGGCAAGATTTTCAGTTTTGATACCCAATGCCAATACTGGCTGAAATCGCTACTTTAACCTATTAGATGTTCAAAGTTTTCTCCATTGTGTGTGATGCCATGTTGAATTTTTATCAATGTTAAGCCTGACGAAAATTACATGTTTTTGAAAAGAATAATTGTGGCTATTGTATTTTCCAAAATTATTTTTTTATTTTGCACAAACAAAGTAGATAGTGCATTTACTTACATATAAGACAAGGTTTTTATTCATTTTTCACTGCTTCAAAAATCTAGATCATCCTATATGTGTGAGCAAAAGATTCTTTTCATTTTTGCAATAATTTTTGTGAACTGTGTATTTGCATTTTTTACTGGATTCTCACCTTCTGGTGTTTAAAAACAAGTATTTTATCTGGGTTGTTTCAATCATTCTTGTGTATTGTCAGGAGTAAAGATGAATAGCAATAGGAAAAGCAAAGCTTTTGAATTGAATTCCAAAATTACATGGGAGTCCGATATAACTTTTAATTCATTCTCATGTGAAAACAGATGATTATTCAGAAATCAGAATTCGGAGAAACTGGTAAGTATAACCAACAAAGAGTGAATTCAAATGCTAAGAATTGGCAAAAAAGGTTCCCAATTGTCCAACTTTACATGAACAAATTATGTTGTCGATTTTACAAGATATTTCCTTGAAGTTTAAAATGCCAGTAATTTTTGCAGGACAATGTGTGCATTTACATCATTTGATATTTTATTTGTGATTAAACAAAATAAAATTAGAATTTATTAATCTAATTTTCTTTATTTTGATCTTTAAAATCACACCTCATACTATATGCAAGATCGTCTTCTATGTGAGTAAATACAGTATATTAATAAATGTAATAACCAAAAAAATTATATTTTGAAAGTTAGTTTTAATATAAAGATTATAACGACTAACGACATCTTGTTTCAAAAACGTTCCAATGCTGAAATGAGATATCTTGGGTCAACTGGTTGAGGTCAGAGGACGCAACCCCGAGATATGTCTGGAATAACACAGGACAGGTTAATATTGATATCGATACTTTTTTTGATATCGGGAGTCCCTACTTGCATATAGACAGTAGGTCCTAGTTCTTAGCCCTTTTTATTGGAAGCGACCTACCGTATGTAGGAAATTAAAGCATTTCAGAACTACCTTGTGTACATGACTTCTCTTTGATGGCAGAAAATAAGAAGCATCCCATGGCTGAAAAACATCATGGAAGCATCTTATTCTAATGATTTTAGGGTTTTCAGATGTAATCTAAACCCACATTGCCATGGAAATGATGTTTTGGTCTCATGAAAAATTTTATAAAATACCAAGATCCTTTATTTCATCCTGAACTATTATGTGGATCCAGAAGGGATTAACTAGTGACCCAGTCCTTGGCACCCTTAGTGCTGAAACAGACTTTTTTCCCTCAATGTGAGTAAAATCTCTGTCACTTGGCAGAAAAGTGTGCTTTGTAGACAGAAATTTTTGCTCTACTATGGTGCAAAACCTTTGTTTTATGAGGTAAAGAATCATCACAGCTATCATCCAGTTATTGTTTATTTTTAATACAATGGTCTGGCTATAAGATAAACTTTCCTTAAAATCATAAGTTTGACAATTTGGATGTAATAAAATTCATAACAAAAGAAGTTATTTCTATTGAACCTGTTTTACCTATAGATTCATGCTACAGCTACTAATTTATGTTTACCACACAACTTCTACCACATGAGTTTTCAGGTTTGTTCAGAAGCCCTCCTCATGTGAAATAACAAGAAAGATTTATAGTTCTACTGAGCTTTCATATATTTTAAGTTTCAAATTCAAATAATTTTCAAGGTGTTTTTTGAAAAGCATTCAATTTTTCTGGAGATGTTATGGCAGATATTATTAACAGTAAACTGCACAACAATAGCATTATAACATGTGTGAATTTTGTAGCATGATGCATGCAACATTTTTTCACTCATCTCACTTGGAGCTTTATAACTTGTTTAATTTGCCCACTGCATGACAAACATTCATTTCTTGACTCCCTCTGCATTTTCAATTTCTTATGATTTCAATTTGCAGGTTGATAATGTCTTTTCTTTCCTAAATTTTGTTTTCCATCGCTGTAAGTTCGCCGATTTTGGGGGCAATACGTTAATTGCGCGTCAGGAAAACCTAGGGTCAAACCGTATGTGGGTGGTGGCGGTAGGAGACAGAGATGACAAGTGTCTTACACGAAAACTGTTTATTTTGACATGAAGTTAACTTACATAGTATGAATAACAAAATTTAGGAACGTCTGATGTCGGGTGCCCCGGGGCTTCCTTGATGAAGAGTTCGACGAAGAAGGACGATGTCCTGTGTTCAGATTCACACTCCCTTCCTCCGAGTAGGCGGAGAAGCTTGGACGGACGTGGCTGGTAGGTGCACGGAAGACCTGAAGTCTTCTAGGCACGTGTCTCGGGGAGAATCGGCCTTGTGTCCTTGAGATTCGGGGGTTTTATAAGATTTTTCCCGAATCCCACCCTTGTGATTGGTCCCCTTCCTCCTCTCCCTTACCCCGATTGGTCACTCTTTTTGTTTCTAGGCGAAATCCGAGACCGATTCGGGTCAGGAAAAGGTCGGAGAGGTGATGACGGTCCTTTAATGTTCGCACTTGTATTTTACTCTGTTATGTCCCTTTTCTCTGTCATCTTTGAACACAAACAGTCCACCAGATGTTCTTGTGGCCATTTATCCCCTACCGCGTTCTTACTTAACAGATATCCCTTTTGTTCTTAGACCCCCCTTTCTCCTGCTTGCTTCGACTCGATATTTGTTCGCGTGTATCTCGACAAAGCTTTCCCTCTCTCTCTGTCGACATTCCCTCCTGTTATTTATCGTTGCATCGCGTTTGTTTTACAATTCAAGAAAGTTTTCGTCTCATCTGGGCTTTGTCACTAATACATCCCCTTGACCCGATTCTGTCTTCGAAACTTTCTGACGTTAAAGTTTGTAATTAGTCGAAATTTCTACGCGCTTTTACGACCCTCACAATCGCCAAAGAGGAGAGAGTGAATGCCTGCTCATCTGCTGTTTTGTTTGCATGTGCAACATTTTTTCATGCAGTTGATAAGTTGGAAGCATTTTTCATGGTAACCAGTCAAATCTTTTTTAGTAAAGATACCATTCACTGCATCATTTCACAGTATGTAATTTCTTATAAAAATCTTAGTTTGGCTATTTTGATGCTTGCAATGTTATCCAACACAAGCCTTTAATTTACAATCTGAAATGGAGGACCAAATGATTAAAATGTTAGCCTACTTCTGTGGAGCACCCAGGAAGGAATCTGGATGGGTTGAAAAACACCAGGAATTTTTTCATGGGATGGTTGGTCCTGGATATGTTGGGCCTCATTCCATACCACCTAGCCACATCATTGTGGCCTGACTGAACCCATGATGGGGATGATTAAAAGGCCTTCTTAAAGAGTCCACAAGGCAGAGGAGTAAAAGAAAAAAAATTGAAATGGTCTTGGCCATTCATTTTATTTGAATTTTTAGTTATCTGAGGTAGCATCCATCCACATTACTGTGGATAATTGGTGTTTACTGTATTTTGAAGTAATTACTTGATTGATTTTGAAAATACTTGTTTTTTGGAAAATGAAATTACATGTAAATTTGTCAAATCATTTTGAAGTTTTATATAAATAATTTAAAATTAGAATTCATTTTTTACTGTAAAATTTATTCATTATTGCTTAAATTCAGATTGGATTCTAATTAATCTAGATAATTGCCTAATTGGTGAACATTAATGTGCTATAAAGATATCAGTATTTTAGTATTAGTATATAGTGGTATAGTAATTTTCAGTATTTGTGAAGAAATATGAAGGAACATTATTGATATGACTCAAGAAGGCTTGTGGTCTGTCAATAGAAAGGCTTATTTTCTGTAAACAATTTTAGGGTTATAAAAGCCAAAATTTGGAAAATTGTTTTAGTCCTCTAGAACCATTTCAGGTCTGATTCAGCATTATTGAATTTTGTGGAACCAATTTTTTTCTTTCATTCTGATGATCATCCCAAACCTCATATCTGGTTTGCCTTCTAAGAGTTGGATGAATTCTCACATTCTATATTTATTTGACATTCTCATCTTTTCAAAATTGTCAAAAATTGGTCTTGAATTTCCATTAAGCAGATTGTTACCAACATGTACAGTTGAATTTAGAAGGATATTAATATATGTGAACAGCATTTCCTAACTTCTGTTATTTGGCTATTTGTATTTCAATGAATTTTAGAAAATTGCCACATCAGTGGTATGTTAAAATAACACAGTAATAATTAAGAACCATTCTGTATAGTAAGTATTGATATAAGGGAAAAGAAATGATATCATTATTTTTTACATATTTTAACATTTTGTAATTTTACTTGTTTGTATTTATATTAAAATGTAGATTGTAAAAGCAAGGTGCAAGGGCCTAATACAGCCTGGCCTAAAAGGTCTATTGTGCACTCCATAAGAGATTATTTTAGAAGTTTGATTTATTTGAAAAAAGATAAAAGATGGAGGATGTCACCTGAGTTCAAAAGGAGAATTCAGATAGACAAGTGTTCCCAAAGAGCTGCATATTCACAAGAGAAATGCAGCTCTTGATAAATTTTAGTACAGTTACAAAAGCAACAAAAGGCTATGGATGAAAATGTATCAAAATATAATTTATTATATATTACTATGTATGACAACAAGATTAGTACTAGAAATTAATAAATTAGCAGTTAATATTACAAATATTGTATAACTTCATATATTTATATAGAAAACATATAATCTAATTACTTAATAGGGATATGAATGCAGTTGAACTTCTCAGTATGTCTCATGCTTTTTAGCAATGTCAGCAATTATTGAATGAAAGTTTTCAGTTTTCTGTAAATTATAGTTGAAATTTTGAAATGTTTAGTATGATATATTGCCTATGTTGCCTAAATATGATGTATTGATGAAAAATTTTCCAAAAATATTAATTTTCTACATGATTTTGTAAATTGACATTATAATGCAAGGTTAAAATATGCAATAAGTTAATTTTACATTAGGTTATTGCATATTTTAATTTTGATCATGTCATTCTTTAAATTAGTATTTTTACCCAAAAGGTGAGCTTATAAATAGGTTAAAATTTTGTTTTAGAGTTTATCTGTATTGTTAAACAGTTTTGTTAATGAAGTCTGCTGTTTTATTCTCATTATCAATCAATTATAATGTTTATAAATGTCATTAAAATATTACAATATAAATAATTGTAGAAGAATATTTTATTTATTGTAATAATTTATTTTAGGTGATGAAAAGACTGTCACTTCTGATGCTAATCTTCCTAAAGGAATAAAAGTTGGAAATAATAGATTCGGATTAAAATATTATTGCACGGTAATCACTGTTTATTTTAATATTGTATATATGTTAATTAAAATTATGAAAGTAAAATTTAATATATATATTAAATTAATACTAAGAAGAGAAAATTTATCTAATCTGCTTTAATTATAAATACTTTAGTTATGTAATTCAAATCTTCTATTCTTTCCCTTGAAATTTAAATTAGTGATAAAAAAAAATAGTTAGTTTGATTTTTTTTAGTATAAATTTGGACAATTTGAAGCTAATATAGCTCATATTTTGAAAATGAAAAGAGAAAATACATGAATCTATATTCAATATTTTCAAATATTGTCTTGAATTTCATAGTATCAGTGAAATTTGAGTGTAGATAGCAAATTGTTTAGGTATATTTTTTGATATCTAAATGTGAAAGGTAAACAAATTTATCTTTAGCTTAATAATCTGAAATTGTTAATGGAACAGGAAGTAAAGAGAAAATGTGATGATGATGCCAAGCTGCAAGGAATACTGACAAGGACCAGAACTGGTGGAAAACTAGTTTAATTTTCAAAAATGTTGGTTAATTCAAAATTTTTTGAATTTCCTAGTGTTCAAATTAAAAAGGTTAGAATGTATTTTAAAAAAAGATTAAAGTACATAGCCATTGTTGTTTTTGAATAGTATTAAATTTAATTGCAATTAGATATAGGCTAAATGTAGTGGATTTATTGGGCTGCAGTTTTCAAATTGCAGATCTATACATTCTCACTGTTGTCCATCTGTTTGTCCTTTGTTAATATCAAGAATGGAGTTAGATAAATGAAAATTGAGATCAGATATGGAAAGCTTAGAGACCTGAGACCCACGAACTTCTGGTTCAGACCAGAAGATATGTGATTTCAATTCAAAATTTTCTCCAGAACAGAGTTAGATAGAAGACCAGCATGACACAATTGTTTTCAGGAGAAATATGATGTAGGGAGGGACAATACACCACTGAAATTCAGACTAAATATGAAAAGCTTAGAGGCTGAGATCCTGATTAACTATATACAAATTTTTATAAATATAGACTGGTATATATGACAATATTTAGATATTGGTTAGGTATTATAGATGTTTATTGTTTGCTTATATACATGCATCTATCTAATTTCAATTTTATTTTAAAATATAGAATGATTAAGTAAAAGAATTTATTTTTTATTTAGTTTTGTGAATGTTTCTTGAATTCTGAAAGCTCAGTTTCAAGTCATGTAAAAGGATTTCGTCATCAACAGGTAAATATTTGATAAATTAATACAGTAACTATTTTCATTAATTGTATATTTCAACTTGTTAATCAAATATGGTTAATTTTAAATCAATAAAAGTCATAATTGGTAAAAGAAAATTTTGGAGCTAAAATTAATATTGATATCATTGTTAAGTTTTTCTTTTAAACAATATATGTTGATGTATATAGAAAAATAGTCTTGCATCTTGAACTTAAACTTTATAAACTTAAAAACATAGAAACAGCACTTTTCTTTGCATAAAGATACATCATTTTAATTCTTGAAGTTAGACTATTTACAAAAATATATTAATATTTTCGAGTCTATCATTAAATCCTTTTGACCTTTTTTTACCTTTTATTATTTTTGCCTTTTATTATTTGTCTTTTAAAGAAGTTTTATCTTCTAACCAATGTAACTGTGTCTTCTGTGGTTTGTGTAAAAAGGATTTAATTATAGACGCGAAAATATTAATATATTTTTGTAAATAGTCTAACTTCAAGAATTAAAATATTGAAGAATATCCTGAGTTAACATTGAACATTGTGAAGATACATCATTGTTTTTATAATTTTCATAAAAAAGAATCATATAAATGTAGACATCTTAAAGATATGCAGAGATGTAAAGAATTCTTTTTTGGAATAATGTAGCATATCTTTAGAGAACAAAAGTAATCATCCCTATCTTTTTAAGTATATATCTTGTTGATATATAACTGTATAGATACAGACAAAATGATGTTTTTATCAATTGTAAGAGAAATGAATAATACAGTTACTTTAATAAAAAATTAAATAATTATATTTATTATAAAATTTTGAAGACTGAACACACAAAAAAAGGGATTTTTTGGAGTCTTCTATTTGTCTAACTTCTAATAAGTTAGAACACAATTAAAAATAATGGAGTCATCTTTTTGTTAGAAGCTCTTATTTCCTTACACAATCAAATTCTCTAAAAAAAATTTCTCTAGCACCAGATACGTGTAGTGTTTACAATAATAAATAGGGTTTGTCAGACCATCTGCAATGCAATTGTTGTGCAAGTGTTAATAAAAGATGATTATTTAATTTTTGAGGTAGCATTCCACCTTTGAGCTCCTGAACCTGCACTGTGACTACATGTATAACATGTTATTGAAGATATTCTTCTGTATTCAAATTTATTTTTTATCAATGTAGTATTCAAAATCTCAAATCTTGAATACTTTCTAGCATTTGAATATTTGCAGATAGTATTTGCCCATCTCTAGTTTTAATACATATAGTCCTGAAGTTCAATGTTTTTGGGCTGCAAGTTAAAAAATTGTAGACTTATAAATTCCCATTGTTGTCCATTCATCTGTCTTTCCTTAATTTCGAGAACAGAGTTAGATAGGTGAAAGATGAGACCAGATATGGAAATTTTAGGGCCAGGAAACAATTAACTGTATATGAACATTCAATACTAACCAGAAATAATGTTATTTTAATTCAAAAATTTTTTCCTGAAATGTGTTAGATAAATGACTGGCATGACTATTGTTAAAGGAAAAGTATGATGTACAGGGGCAAGCCACTACTAATTGAGATGGAGAGCATAGATTTTAATTAAATAAATTAAAAATATGATTAAAAATTGCAGCCCAACATTGTGATGATGTCACAATAAATAATTGCTCATTTTTACAATTATATTTTTGTTAATCAGAGTAGTAATTTAATTACATTCTAAAAAGTTTCTCTTACTTTGTTAGTCTAAATTATATAATTTAGAGTATTTAGAATATTAAATGCAAAATTTTAAAGCAAGACTATGCTCTACAATTTTATATTTAAAATTTTTTCTTATTTTGAATGGTTAAAGAGTTATTTTTACATTCAAATATTATATTAAAGCCTTCTGAATGGTCATTATTAATTAAACTTCTCTTATGAACTTTAATTTTTATAGAAATCATTGGTTCCCAAAATTATTTTTGGAAAATTCTGTGTCTTTTTAATGATATATTTAGCAGATAATACAAAAATGGTATCATGATCAATATAACTTTCATTTCTGTCTATGATGCATCATGTTTCAATTTTGACTTATCTTTAGTAATAATATATCACCCAGAAATAGTTTTTTCTTACATTCTTCTTGGCTATCATTAAATTCTAGAAATATGAATTTTTAGGTAAAATTTGAAACTATTAAACTTTATAATATAAAAAAATTAGAAAACATTATGATGAATTATAATTTAGTCCTTAATTTTCAAATATTATTTTGCAGTCTGTATCTTGTTTTGAATTTACTTTCTACTATGGTATTATGGAAGTTGTTGCAGGTTTAGTCCCTATTTTCTAAATGATTATTTTTTTGAAAATTTAATTATTACTACTGATGCTTTAATCTTCTAAGCTGCATAGAAATTTTTAAAAATATTGTTTATCATAACAAATAGTTTAAACAACATTGTTTCATTTTTTGGGTAAAATTTAAAATATGAATTAATATTTTAATAATAATTTTAGCATAAAATTAATTTATACAAAATTTGATTAAATATTTTATTTTTTCTTGTAGAAAGGAAAATTTGTAAAGACTGGAGGCAAGTAGTAGTAATACATTTGATATATAGTATTCAGTTTGTAAATACAGTAGAGCGTCGTTTATCCGAAAGCTGGTTATCCGAAACGTCCGTTATCCGAAAGCATTCCAGTCAGCAAATTTAAATTTTCGCTAGTGCTGTGGCGCTGCAATCTTTGGCTATGTCTTTGGCTACTCAAATATTTTACGTTTTTGATACTAAATTAACTTCTTAAGTATAATTTTTTATTGTTTTTATATTTTTCAATAAATTTATTTTGTTTGTACAAAATAAAAAGATAATTTTTAACAATACAATAGTCTTCGTTAGGCTTAACATTGACGAAAATTCAACGCGAAGCGACACACAACGGAGAGAAATTTCAACATGGGATAAATTAATATATTTTTTCGTACATGATTCGTTATCCGAAAAATAAGTTATCCGAACCACCCCAGTCCCCAATTGATTCGGATAAACGACGCTCTACTGTAACTGTATGTGTTAATAAAATAAGTAATTGTAAATTCTTTGTACAGCTTCAGTAACTGTAGACTGCATATGATAAAAATATAAAGATGCTCCCTTACTTTCAAACACGTTCAATACTTGAGGTTTTTTTGTAAGTCAAAAATTGACTTAGAAAGTACATTTGTACACAGAATAACCATGTATTGTTAGTGTTTGATCCTTCAATGCACTTAATAGAATACATTATGCACATTTATCCACTCACTACTGCTTAGTAGTGGATGTTTCAAGCACAAATTTTTTCATCGAATACACTTAATTTTATAATGTCTAGTTCCCACAATAACAAAGCCAGTCATACTTCTTGCATTTATCTCCATTCTTAGACTTACTATTACATTTTGGATGCTTTTTGAAGCACTAATCATAAAAGTTTATAAAAATTGCAAACAATAGCAAAAATCTGTTACTGCAATGTTATCAACTTCAATGGCATTTTATGATCAGCAATGAAATGTCAGAATTTGCACAAAACTGAAAATGATGATATGCAATTGAAATAAATCTATGTTAATTATTTATTAAAAATTTATTATTTATTACTCGCTAGAGACTGACTTTAACACCACCTCATGACTGGCAAGAGAACTTCAGAATTCATGCAAAATTTAAATTTTAGACATACAGTCAAATTGTTTATAAGTTGAACATTTGTAAGGAGAGGAGCTCCTGCACTATAATTGGCATTATAAAAGCTTAATAATTAGTTTTACTGCATTTCACAGCTGTTAATGACTTCATTTCTTTAAGCTATGACACAGTTAACCTTTTCTTCCACTTTTGTCCTTTCCACTCACTTAATCCATCTTGATCATTTTCAGATTCTTTAATGAGAAACATATAACATATACAAAAACTTTAGTAATTAAGCTTTTACATACTAGTTATGAGTATCATTATAATCACTAAATACTATGAAAGTTCTACTTATTTATCACTTTTTAGATTACCAAATAGTCTTAAAGAGCCTAGTGAGTAATGTCTCAGTTAGAATGTTAGATTCTCTGAGGTTAAAGAAAAATTCCAGTATTTTAACATTTTTTAATATTATGATATTATCTGTTCATTTAGTTATGGGAAAACTGCAGAAATATTACATTTAGTCATACATTTAATTATGGAAACTTCTGGCTATAGAAGAGTTCAAAAAGAACTTTAATAGGTAGAAGTTGAAAGAATTGAGTCATCAGCATAAGTAATGTACAATGACTATAAAAATGTATTATTAAGAAAGAAATTATTCAGTAATAAGTTCCAAAATATTTGATTGTAAAGCTCTGGAGATTCCTTGAATAATGAACAAATAACATCTAGAGAAGAATTTGCTATTTATCCAGAATTTTAGGTTAATTTTTTAGAATAAAATTATGCCAGATAACTGAATAATGTGATTTAATAAAAATAAGTTTGCAAAAATATTTAATTTTTAGCTAAATTATTTTACATCATTAATTATAAATTGAATAATTCAGCTATCTTACTCAAGATTTTGTTATATTTTCTTTTTAATTCAGCTTTGTTATATTTAACTATAAATTATTTGATTACATTTACTATTTTGAATTCTGGTGATTATAAATGAAAATTTATTGTATTTTTTAAATACAGAACGAAAGTTTGTTCCTTCTCAAAATTCAAAGAAGCCAAGAGAAATTTCTCATAAATTAAAACCTTATTTGGAAAAATTATCCACACCTATCATAGGTAAGTAGTAAAAACAAAGTTATAAAACTTATGGTAGGCTAACATTTTAGTAAATATTTTTGTTTAAAAATGAAAAGATTGATATTTTTTTATGCAAAGAAAATTAACTGAAAATTTTGAATTATATGTTTATGAATCTGAATTAGTACAAATGCTTTTACTGTATAAGATAATATATTACTACTAATTTAAAAACTGTTAAAGAAATGAAAATTTATGTAAATTGCCATATGACAAAATTTTACAATGGAAATAAAAATTATTTATATAGATATTTTTATGAAGAAATCATGTACGAAAGTTAGATTGCATGATATTTCAAGCCTAGCAGTTTTTTTTATAGGACTCTCAAATTGAAATTTTGCTGTCAAGAAATGGCAACAAATTAAAACTACAAGGGTCATTCTAAAAGAAAAGAACGTTTTGATTTGATGAGCCGTGCAGTTCTCCCACCACCCCACTGCCACGTCGTGGACCTTCCCATTTTTTTGTGCCAGTCTGATGCTAACAACAAGCCACAATGATTAATTTACTGTTTATAGTGTGACTTTGAAATGTGTGACAAAATTAAAGATCCTGCTAAGTGTGAGGTTTGTAGTGTAATATGCTTTTGAATGCGAAAAAAGTCCACCCTATTGAAATTTACAGACAGATAACTGAGGTTTATGGTAATGTGATGAATGAAGCTTCAGTTTCAGATGAATGGTGTATCATGTTTAATGGCAGGCGAACGAATATTCATGATGAAGAATGCTCAGGCCAACCTTTGGTTGTCACTGATGAACTCAAATCAAGAATTGAGGAAAAAATTCAACAGGATAGACATTTCATTATTGATGGACTCAGTTCATTCTTTCCTGAAATTTCAAGAACAGTTCTTTATGGCATTTCTAGTGGTGATTTGGGCTACAGAAAAGTGTGTTCCAGGTGGGTTCCTTGACTTTTGACAGATGAACACAAACAAAATCGGATGGGAGCTTCACTGACTTTTCTCAGTTGGTACAACAAGGATGGCAAGAAGTTTTTGAATCACATTGTTAATTGTGATGAGACCTAGATTTTGCATAAAACTCCCGAAACAAAGCGCCAGTCAATGGAATGGCATCGTTCCAGATCTCCAAAAAGACCAATAACAGCAAAACAAATTCTGAGCACCAAAAAGGTTATGGCTACAGTGTTTTGGGATCAAAAGGGTATCCTACTCGTTGACTAAATGCCTTGAGGAAAGACCATAAATGCAGTGGCCTATTGTCAGACTTTTCACTGACTACACCATGCCATTCAAAATAACAGCAGGGATTGTTGTCCAGAGGCATTGTGCTTCTTCAGGATAATGCATGTTCGCATGCTGCTGCATTGATGAAGAACTTGCTTCAGCAGTTTAAGTGGGAAGTTTTTGAACATTCTTCTTATAGACTGGACTTGGCTCTGAGTGATTACCATCTTTTCCCAAAATTGAAGGATTTTTTGGCTGGGAATCACTATGGAAGTGACAACGAACTGAAAGATGTTGTTAATGACTGGTTCAAGAACTTGATGGTAACTGAGTGTGCAGAAGTCATAGAAAAGCTGGTGATACTCTATGACAAATGTTTAAATTTGTATGGCAACTACATAGAAAAAATAGCTAAGGTATTATATGTGTTGTAAAATAAGTTTTGTTTCATTATCTTAAATGAAAATATCTAGAGAAACAAACATTCTTTACTTTCAGAATGATCTTTGTATTGGGTTGTTTGGAAAGTAATTTCATTTTTTTTTACCACTAGACAGATTAGTCGTATTTTTCCCGCAATTTTCATTCTAAACCATATCATTATATATTTTGACTGTTAGCATTTTAAGACTTATTTGTAAAAAATTTTGTTTGATTTTGTGCAATTGTTTATTTTTTGTGTCCCATCAAATATGGAAGATCGAAAGCAGCATTTTCAGCATATTTTGCTCTTTTATTACCGAAAAGGTAAGAATGCTGTTCAAGCAAGAAAAAAATTGTGTGACGTGTATGGAGATGTATTGACAGAACGACAGTGCCAAAATTGGTTTACAAAAAATTTCGTTCTGGCAATTTCAATATTGAAGATGCACCGTGTTCTGGATGGCCAGTTGAAGCCAATGAAAACAAAATAAAGGTACTGATTGAAGCAAGCTGTCGAATATCACATGAAATCACTAAGAGATTATTTTTGTCAAATTGAACTGTTTATGATTACTTGAAACAAAATCAATTTGTTTCAAAGCTTGGGTTCCACATGTTCTTAAAGAGAGATGCTCTCTTTGGTGGGATTTTAAAGAAATTTTTTTTTGAAGCTTTTACCAGACAATTTAACAATTGATTTGCGGCGGTCGGCAACACTGCACCGACCACCGTCCCCAACCCGTGTGACGTCAGAGGTCGAGGTTCACTCTTTTTGGGTCGACGTGCTCAGGTTCGGACGCTCATCCCCACTCTCCGACCTTTGTCTACAGGATCGGCGTTGTTCTAACCATCTGTACATAGATTTGTAATTATCGGTAAATAAACTAGTGAATACGACATTCGGATCCTTCTTTCAACCCTAGAATGTATAACTCGACGCCACGACGATTCCGTTCGCGGATGCGATCGGATTGAGCGATCTGACTAACTTCAACTATTTAGAGGAACCATTAATGGTCCCCTCAGATTCANTGCATCTATCTAATTTCAATTTTATTTTAAAATATAGAATGATTAAGTAAAAGAATTTATTTTTTATTTAGTTTTGTGAATGTTTCTTGAATTCTGAAAGCTCAGTTTCAAGTCATGTAAAAGGATTTCGTCATCAACAGGTAAATATTTGATAAATTAATACAGTAACTATTTTCATTAATTGTATATTTCAACTTGTTAATCAAATATGGTTAATTTTAAATCAATAAAAGTCATAATTGGTAAAAGAAAATTTTGGAGCTAAAATTAATATTGATATCATTGTTAAGTTTTTCTTTTAAACAATATATGTTGATGTATATAGAAAAATAGTCTTGCATCTTGAACTTAAACTTTATAAACTTAAAAACATAGAAACAGCACTTTTCTTTGCATAAAGATACATCATTTTAATTCTTGAAGTTAGACTATTTACAAAAATATATTAATATTTTCGAGTCTATCATTAAATCCTTTTGACCTTTTTTTACCTTTTATTATTTTTGCCTTTTATTATTTGTCTTTTAAAGAAGTTTTATCTTCTAACCAATGTAACTGTGTCTTCTGTGGTTTGTGTAAAAAGGATTTAATTATAGACGCGAAAATATTAATATATTTTTGTAAATAGTCTAACTTCAAGAATTAAAATATTGAAGAATATCCTGAGTTAACATTGAACATTGTGAAGATACATCATTGTTTTTATAATTTTCATAAAAAAGAATCATATAAATGTAGACATCTTAAAGATATGCAGAGATGTAAAGAATTCTTTTTTGGAATAATGTAGCATATCTTTAGAGAACAAAAGTAATCATCCCTATCTTTTTAAGTATATATCTTGTTGATATATAACTGTATAGATATAGACAAAATGATGTTTTTATCAATTGTAAGAGAAATGAATAATACAGTTACTTTAATAAAAAATTAAATAATTATATTTATTATAAAATTTTGAAGACTGAACACACAAAAAAAGGGACTTTTTGGAGTCTTCTATTTGTCTATTCACAACCATTAGAAGTTAGAACACAATTAAAAATAATGGAGTCATCTTTTTGTTAGAAGCTCTTATTTCCTTACACAATCAAATTCTCTAAAAAAAATTTCTCTAGCACCAGATACTTGTAGTGTTTACAATAATAAATAGGGTTTATCAGACCATCTGCAATGCAATTGTTGTGCAAGTGTTAATAAAAGATGATTATTTAATTTTTGAGGTAGCATTCCACCTTTGAGCTCCTGAACCTGCACTGTGACTACATGTATATCATGTTATTGAAGATATTCTTCTGTATTCAAATTTATTTTTTATCAATGTAGTATTCAAAATCTCAAATCTTGAATACTTTCTAGCATTTGAATATTTGCAGATAGTATTTGCCCATCTCTAGTTTTAATACATATAGTCCTGAAGTTCAATGTTTTTGGGCTGCAAGTTAAAAAATTGTAGACTTATAAATTCCCATTGTTGTCCATTCATCTGTCTTTCCTTAATTTCGAGAACAGAGTTAGATAGGTGAAAGATGAGACCAGATATGGAAATTTTAGGGCCAGGAAACAATTAACTGTATATGAACATTCAATACTAACCAGAAATAATGTTATTTTAATTCAAAAATTTTTTCCTGAAATGTGTTAGATAAATGACTGGCATGACTATTGTTAAAGGAAAAGTATGATGTACAGGGGCAAGCCACTACTAATTGAGATGGAGAGCATAGATTTTAATTAAATAAATTAAAAATATGATTAAAAATTGCAGCCCAACATTGTGATGATGTCACAATAAATAATTGCTCATTTTTACAATTATATTTTTGTTAATCAGAGTAGTAATTTAATTACATTCTAAAAAGTTTCTCTTACTTTGTTAGTCTAAATTATATAATTTAGAGTATTTAGAATATTAAATGCAAAATTTTAAAGCAAGACTATGCTCTACAATTTTATATTTAAAATTTTTTCTTATTTTGAATGGTTAAAGAGTTATTTTTACATTCAAATATTATATTAAAGCCTTCTGAATGGTCATTATTAATTAAACTTCTCTTATGAACTTTAATTTTTATAGAAATCATTGGTTCCCAAAATTATTTTTGGAAAATTCTGTGTCTTTTTAATGATATATTTAGCAGATAATGCAAAAATGGTATCATGATCAATATAACTTTCATTTCTGTCTATGATGCATCATGTTTCAATTTTGACTTATCTTTAGTAATAATATATCACCCAGAAATAGTTTTTTCTTACATTCTTCTTGGCTATCATTAAATTCTAGAAATATGAATTTTTAGGTAAAATTTGAAACTATTAAACTTTA